GGAGCTGATGATGGAGCTGATGATGGAGCTGATGATGGAGCTGATGATGGAGCTGATGATGGAGCTGATGATGGAGCTGGTCTCACCGCACGTTTTACTTGTCATTTTCTAAGCTAATAATAAAGTCTTGAACATCTAGAGTATATATTAATTAAGGAAGATGCTGGAGGAAATTAAGCTAATATTTCAAGAGGACAGCAGCCCTAATTATTGCTTAATTTATGAGACAGAATAAAACAGGAATTTAAGCTTGAGACTTCGTGCCATAAAAAAACGGGCTGAAAGCGCATGCAAATACAAGCAGGAAAGAGAAGAAAGGAAAGCCTGTGTGTGTAGTGAGAGAAAAAGAGAGAGAGATTCGTAGGGTGCACGATTGTTCAACAATAGATGAAAGAAACCAACTTTCTGAACAAAGGAATATTTGAAACTGCATACCCCTTAACTCACGCTGCTTTAGCCAGGACATCTAAAAAGTAATACAATAATTTAGAGGATTTTTCATTGAATAGTTTTGCTCAATACGACGCCGGATTGTGCAGCACTCGAGCCACAAGTCTGGCCATACAGAACACAGCAGATCAGTTATGCAAATATGCGCCTGGTGCACCATGGAGGGAAGAACATGGCTGGTGCGAGGTGCGAGGAAACTCTTAAAAGTAACGCCTGATATGCAATATAAATCAAAGTAGAAGTAGTCACAGACATCGTAGAAGTGGTAGCGTGTAGAAGTAGTAGCAAAGTAGAATCGCAAGAAAATAAAACGTAAAGAAAACAAATAAAAAACATTGCGATCCCAATCTTTAGGAGGCGATGAACAAGTGACTCCTAATGTATAATTTTGATTCAGTTGTGAGATATAAATTGATATAAAGTTGAAACACTAACTTAGGATAATGAAAATTTGGCCGCTCAGGGAACGGATTTCCCGCGGCCTATGTCAGTAAATGATAAATGATTCTCCGGGAAGAGAAGAACCACAAATTGAGAGTTCGATGGTTGTGTTCTAATATCTTTATTGATGACAAAATGACTGTTTCTTTGCCTTCACACGGTGACGAGGCGATGAAAACATCAAATGAAATCACGTGTGTAAATGCTCTAACAAATAGAAATAAGGAATAACAATACTAATAACGCAAGAGTCGACGCAAGCACTTCCTGAACGCTGTTGTCAGGAGGGAGAAGAGAGGAGAAGAAAGATTCGGCTTAAAAAAGCTCACACGAGAAAGAATGTTTTGTGTTCCCTCAAATACCGTGACGGGAGACGCTCTTAAAAGATTCAGCTGACGATTACATGATGGCAGAGATGAAATCCATTAAAGCACGAATGATTATATCTATAAATGTTTGATATATACTTCAACTCAATTTAATTCGAGCATCCAGAATGATCGAGATTCGAAGCAATCGAAATAGAATGATAACATCAAGATAAATGTATCGCGATGCAAACCTCAGAAGTTGCCTGATGCTGCTTCTGAGATTCAAATCTAAATAAAATCCCGACTGCTAACGGCCGAGGAAGATTCGCATGCAGGTCGAGACTGTCGATGAGACAACGGTGCTTCTTTTAGGGCATGACTCCTGGCGACATATCCTTAATTTCAGAACTTGTCGCTATCAATTGTATATTTTAATACGGAATGCAGCGAGCGTCTTGTATGCCTGATCCAAGAGCCATCATCGCAGGTGGCGGCTGGCCGACCAAAGCGTTTCTTATCAGAAAAGCGAAGGCTGTTAATGAAGAAATCGACCGAGACCTGTAATGGCTGTCTTAATTGGTGTCTGATAAGTCGTATGGGGCACGTAGCGGAACTTCCAGTATACGCCAAGACAGAATGCAGCGAACCTGTCGAACATCTGAAGCAACTTCGCGCCGTGCAAACCTCTTGAATTTCATTAATAGAAATCGAACGACGTGAGATAAGAAGGTATTTACCAAACATGGCGAGAGAGATCTTTGTAATTAAACTTTTTAGGGACGCAGATTTCAATGGTAGAAATCGAGCCACAACAGGTATTTGATCCTGCAGTGGTTGCCGAGTTCCTATACCAACGTCTAGTGACGTAGAGCGCAGATATGGTCCGCGTGTTCGGGAGGTGCAACAAGTCGCGCGAACATGCGTTCCAGTCGACGTTTGTCTCAATTTATTTTAAATTGCATCATAAATAAACAACGATTTTATATGGAGCAGCTACAACAATAATAAAATCAATAAAACTTATAATTCTAATAATTTAAATCGTTAATTCGGCGTGCGAGAGCAATGTTTATAAAGACGGAAAAGAACTATCTTTCGTGTGAATTTACTTATGGAAGTAATTTAAGTTCTAAAAGAATTATGCTCACTACGCGTGATGAAAAAGAAATAAATAATTTCGGGGCAATACGTTGCATTTGAAAAGCATCATATTTTCGGCAAATTTTTAAACTGAAATTAAATTGTACAAAGTTTCATGCTTGAATTAATTATAAGTGCCCCTTTTCCTTACATTAGATCAACTCGATCCTTGAGTTCGACGGCAGCACAAAAAAGCGCTTTCACGGCCTTAACTCCGCTTGCTGATAAGCGGACGCTTCGAAGCGCGCAAATTTCGAAAACTGGTCGCATGAATCGCGACGAGCACTTAAGTGAGGCCGGCTTACTGCATTAGTGGAATAATTAGAATGAAACTTGCAGTGGCTAACGGGTAGTCTTCGTTATATTGAGTGCGCTAAATGGAGCATAAAAGAGAGAAGTGTGCCATCCGATTACACCTAAATCTCCGCCCTCACTTTCACGCGCCAGCATTTGCTGCCAAGAAAGAAATGCTACACAAGTTAGCGATCTGCATGGCCAACACGGCCAGTTGGGCTCCTCTGTGAGTCGTACAGCATTCCTTGTTCAACAGTTAAGTTGATTGAATAATTATTCATTTTGTAACATTTATAAAAAGTTTTTGTAGACATAAGCGAAAATTCTGCTCAAAAATCTTTCACTACAATACACAAAGAAACATAAGGATTTTAGGTTACTACAGCGGATTTTCAATGTTTAACCGGCATCTTATGATGATGAAGAAGCTACTTATGATTATGAAGGATAAGGTTCACTTTGTCTGTTTGCAGCTAACGTGGTTGTAGCTCGCCTTGCTTCACAAAATCAGTAATAAAACAGAAACGGGTTTGAAATTGCACAGACCAAACAAAAATTCTAACTAAAGTGTTTTCCCGTGTCTCTTCAAGATGTTGTGCAAGTCATTGCAATGTACAAGCCGTGATTTTGAGAGCGATAACATATTTCATCCGTACTATAAAATATATAAATACGTGATTTAGATCAAATGTTTTCGTCGAACCCCGTGATACAGGACCCGATAGCACATTATAAGACTAACCTGTACGGTGGCGGAGAGTCTGGTGTCGGGAGGCTGGGCGCGGTCTGACGCCAGCACCACGAGGTTGTAGAAGGATTGGTCCTCGCGGTCCAGCGGCGCTCTCGTGAAGATCGAACCGTTGCTCGAGATCGAAAATTGGCCCTTGTCGTCTCCTCCTGCGATGCTGTACTCCAGCTCGCCGTTTACGCCTGAAAAATAAGGAAAATTACTTCGTTATGTTACATTTTCATTGATTAATATCCATATTTGAGTACATATTTCAAAGGATCTTAGACTCTCTCCACTGGTCATACCGCAATTCGAAGGGTGAAACTAACTCCGATATACGACGCCTGCTATCAGAGATATTCATGAGAGTTATATAAAGAACAAACAATCATAGTATTTCTTACTTTGTCCACTGGAAAGAAAAATTTGCAGCCTTCGGCCACACGCATCAGGTTCGGTTATCCAATTTGAAACTAGTATATATTCATTAACGTTGAAATGCTTGAATTTGAAAAAATTTTCTTTTTCTTCAAATAACGTCAGATGCCACACGGTACGGGAAGATGTACAGGGGAATATTACGTTGTGGTTTACGAGCAGTATCAGATTGAGAGAGGAGCGAAATGATGTGATTGCATTGCCATCTTTATATGAGCTAGAGAGAGGAACGAAATTCTATTGGTTTACAAGCGTTATTAGATACAGAGCAGCGAGATACGATGGTTTTACGAACATTATTTGTACAAAGAGGAACAATCTGCGTACCTGAGTCCTGGTCGGTGGCGTGTACGGTGAGCACCGGGGAGCCGACTGTGATGTTCTCGAAGACTTCGTCCGAGTAGCTCATGGGATCAAATACCGGGGCGTTGTCGTTGAGGTCTTGTACGTTGAAATACACGGTGACCGTCGACGACAGGGACGGGCGACCCGTGTCCTGGGCTTGCACCACCAGGATGTAATGTTGCACCTGCACAGGAGAAGCAACGTGCCAGTTCAGCAACTGGTCTCAACCCTGTGAAGTAATAAATACGCTTATACGCTTGATTTCGTATTAACGTTTTAGACGTCCGGATAGTATCTTCACTGCTATGCTGATATAAGATCTTTCGGGTATCTTAAATCTTGTGAGCCGAAGGAGCTTAAAGAAATATTTGCATAAAGTAGAGTTTTACATCTACCAGGTGAGAGAACGATCATGTATATCACATCCCGGGAGAATTTCTGCAGCACGACACCCCTCATGAATGGGACGATGTAAGACGAGTAAAATCACAAAGTATATAGAAGTAACAAAATAAAATATTTGTGAAGATAAATCATTATATAGTAGTTACCCTGTTGCGGCAGCTTCAGAATGAAGAAATGTTTTTACATAACATAAGAGGGTTAAAAATTTAATCATGAATGCGCGGGAATTAATTATAGATCCTGTCAATAATAAGGTTCTCGTTAAATAAAAGGCAAGTCACCGCGTGACTTCAGCCTATTTTCTTGAATGAATCAACAAATGAATGACCGAAGGTTCGCCTCAAAAAGGATATTGGCAATTTGCTAGGCGCCAATCATCGCAGCCTGTGGTGAAATTTCAACGGCGCAACTAAAACGCTGCATCCGCAATGCAAATCCGGGTTTTGTGGTCGGGAAATTCAAGGGATTATTCCAGTCTTGGAACGGTAACAGCTGGAATCACGTGCGTGACTGAGGGTCTCTGGAATTAAGTTAGCAAATTAACCGTGGTCTCTTGCAAGCTGGTCATTAGTATGACATGGGAGCCATATTGGGGTGTAGACCGAGCAGACCTCAACACCGGCAGTCAGACCATCACGTGCTTGAGGAGCGTCCGTTTAAATTGGATGGTCTTCAGTCATGAATACTGCATTATACTTCTATGATTTTTCATGCCCTGTAGAGGTAAGACACCAAAACCTATTCCCAAGTGTCACTTTGTTATCGAAAAAATATACTTTCATTGAGAATTTATCATAATAAAAATTTTCCTGGACCAACCGGAAATCACACAACAGAAAACCGTTCCCCGACGTCAGAAAAGACAATTGGTCCGTTATTTGTTAAGTGAACGATGTCAGAGAGAGTGGGGGAAAAAATTTATTTGAGGCCATTACAAGAATCGTCGAATGAATGCATCGCCATTCCTGAGCTTGAGCTACTTAGATAACCTGGATACCAGCACTTAGATTTGCTTAGAGAAGAACTTTCGCGCCAATCGCAAGAGATTCCTGCAATCTATGCAATCAAATCTCTATCAAAATTGAATAAAATTGTGTAAAGAAGTTAGGATTTAATATAAGCGAAAAACGCTCGGGCACTTTCAAGCTAAGTGCATTCTAATGTGATCGTAGTTTGACTGAGATATTCTGGTTAATTAATGATGAGGTGACAGCATATTATGTGCAATTTGCTTATGTATTTATTATTTGTTGTTAAGAGTATTTATTCGGAAGCTTTCAAGTTTGTAGTTAAGAATATTTATGGGTAAACATTCAAGTTTGAAATTAAGAGTATTTACGGGGGTAAGCGTTCAAGTTTGTAGTTGGGAGAATTTATGGATAAGCGTTCAAGTTTTTATGTGTAAAGTAAGAACGAACTAAATTCAGTTAACTGTCGCCTGCTTTTGCATGATACGTTATAAAAAACATATGTCAAATAACACACATAGTTTAAAATTTTGAAGTAAATCTATAAATCTCAAGAAAGTCGTCTTTCAACGAATAATTCGTTATATACGGCGTTAACCTGAAGAGACGCCCCAAATCACAAATAATGCTTTGAAGTAATGAAGTGTATTGTGATCGAAGAATATAGTGAATTGTAATCGTTCTAATAACAACGAACAAGTCGTCAACGAACTAGTTATTTCGTGAGCATCTTTCTGTATTAAATCACATACGCTGAAGCTAACAGAAGTAACCCATGTATAATATAATGTATAGCTAACAGAAGTAACTTGTTTATAATATAATGTATAGCTAATAGAAGTAACCTATTTATAATATAATGTATAGCTAACAGAAGTAACTTATTTATAATATAATGTATAGCTAACAGAAGTAACTTATTTATAATATGATATATAGCTAACAGAAGCAACTTATTTATAATATAATGTATAGCGAACAGAAGTAACTTGTTTATAATATAATGTATAGCGAACAGAAGTAACTTGTTTATAATATGATATATAGCTAACAGAAGTAAGCTACATAATCTGACCTGCTCGTAGTCGAGAAGTGACGTGAGGGTGAAGATGCCTGTCTGGGGGTTGAGAGAGAACACGTCGTTGCCCCACTCGCTGATGACGGTGTACGAGACGTGCCCGTTGACGTCCTCGTCGGCGTCCCAGGCAGACACTTGCCCAACCTGGCGGGGCAGCGGTAGCATACTTATCACCGGACACACGCTTCAAACATTTCCAACTTTAATCTAGAAATGTATCAACGTGCTCAATTGCTAAATCAGTTTATAATTTCAGTCACACCACATAAAAAATTTTCTGTTTGCCTCTCCTATCATTCGGAATACGAATGTGTAAATAAATCAATATGCTGAATACAAGATCAAGCTTTGTATTTCGGTCACGCAATTTTCCCGAGCTCATCACTTGCCTCGAGCAACTTTGTAGGAGCGTTCAATATAAATTCAACGTCTCCAGGGGTAAAATCATGAAGTATTTGACATTTGACACATTAATATCATTTCGAAACCTCAATCTTTCGCTACCAGTAAAATACGAATATGATTGCTTGGTGTTTCGAAGTCGAGAATACTGGAGTAAAATTCATAATTCAAAGACGCCGGAGGCAAAGGAATAAAATTTTAAAACTTTTGGCCGGGAGTTTGCTCGGGAATTATCACATTTTCGTTTCATGGAATACAACCGTAAAGCAAATACTGTAGCAGATCTTATGTTACTTTACATACATCTTATATTACTGTACATACATCTAATGTTCCTGTACATACATCTTATGTTAACGAAATATTGTTGCTGTGGGTGTCGTTAATTGTTTCAGTGAACACGTAAACGAAATTTTAACGTCTTAAATATTATAATACAATCCTGTGTTGGCTATGCTTTGCTGCCGAGGATACAAAATAATTTAGATTTTTTGACGCGAAATTGAAATTATTTTATGTTAATGTTAAATCGTTATATGCTAGGGTCTCGGCCATGCAGGGGATACCATAATAATTATGCTAATGTCTAAATAATCTGAATTGTAATAATAAATGAAGTGTATCGTAATAAACAAATTTAGTGTATCGTAATCAACAAATGAAGTGTATCGTAATCAACAAATGAAGTGTATAGTAATCAACAAATGAAGTGTATTGTAATCAATAAATGAAGTGTATTGTAATCAATAAATGAAGTGTATTGTAATCAACAAATGAAGTGTATAGTAATCAATAAATGAAGTGTATTGTAATCAACAAATGAAGTGTATCGTAATCAACAAATGAAGTGTATTGTAATCAACAAATGAAGTGTATAGTAATCAACAAATGAAGTGTATAGTAATCAACTAATGAAGTGTATTGTAATCAACGAATGATGTGTATTGTAATCGATGAATAAAGATAATTGCAATCGCCGAATGAAGTGAGTTGTAATCGCCAAATGCATTGTAAGCAGCAATGCTCATACTTTAATGAACGTTTTGTGCTGCAACGCGAGCATTGACGCAGTGATCTTCAGTTAATAGCTGTGCAGCTGCGGGCCGCGCTGTGCTTTACTTCTTGCTTCAGCCTCTGGTTATTTCCTGTAATTTTACGCACGACACTGCAATGATTTTATCGTATAACTAATAATTTCTCCGACTCGAATTAGGCCGAAACTTCATTCATAATTCTTCAATTATTTCGTACAATTATCCCAGAATTATGATAATAAGAACTCGGGAAACAGTGTTCGTGAGCGGTCATGATGAAATCTTAAAATGATTTCATGGTGAAATCTTTAAAAAAATTCACAATATGTAAAAAAGATATTTCAAAGAGAATTTAATACCAGTCTCAAATTTTTCCGTCAATGAACAATTTTATGCGTTAAAATTATTCTTTAAAAAACTACTTATCAACTAATTGATTCATTCAATTTTCTCGGACTTCGTTTCTTATCTTTTAATAAAATCAAATTCGGAAAGTTATTTTCTGTGACAAAAATCATCAAAAAGAAACTTCATCAGGTGCATTTTCCCAGCTTCGACACCGAAGGCTTTCAGACAATCCCCGCACTTCACGCTCACACCCCGGCCTCCGTGAGAGGATAAGGCGCCGTAGCCGTGACAGAGCTCCGGCAGTGATTAGTGTAAGGAGTGTACGCGCTGTTCATCCAATTTGTTTGCTGTCTATCATTAATAGCATATCCAAAGTGCGAAAATGTATAGGGTTTTCCAAAGAAAGTCTAAACGTAACACGGTGTTATAGATTAGTGGGAAGAATAAGCCCTAAAGAGGGCTTGAATTACTGTACGTCTAGAACTTTGGAACCATAACGTGTGTAATTTGTTGGACAAACTGTCCTGAAGAAAATAGCTAGCCTTCATGTAGCAGTGTTAAGAGCGCGTGTAGACGTCACTGCGTTGGACTACAAAGAGGCGATCTAACATCGGTAGTGATGGCCGTACAAAGCCAAGAGTTCGCCCTCAATCGCGTCCAAGGAGGACCGAATCTCTATTTCCTATTGATACTTGTTCTCGGGCGCTGGCAGCGAGCAGGCTTAGATGTCTCTTGAGTTGCCCCTTCTATACCCGCAATCTCCATAAACTTGGCTTTTTATCCGCCGTATTTTACATGCCCAGAGGTGGTTAGCCCGCGCCTCTCATACGCGAGCGCGCCAAAGGCCAGCTCTCGATGAGGTGAGGTCTGCTTACGCTCCTCTCATTGAAGGAGGCAGCCATTATGCAAAAGTCTTCTGCTGTCAGTAACCCATTAAAAACATCCACAATAATGCTGTGTACAGCATTCTTCAGTTTTAAAAGAGTGATTTATGTGCGAATGATTTTTGAATAACGTGCCACGCTCAATTCTGCAGCGACGCGAGCTCGGCCGCAAGGCACTATGGTAGAATGTGATGCGTGATCAGTCATTTATTTTAAAGGCGTGAACTGCAACACAATTCATTCCTTGACGCTAATGATCAAGTTTGCACTAAGTAGACAATGGGACTCAATGACTTATGATGTAAGATTAGAGTTATAATGAAGTAAAGACATTGAAGAGAGAAATGCAAGAATGTTATTCGTACAGCTCTGGCAGCCTTATCTTGTGTTTGTGTTCCTTCAAATGAAAAATACACAATGGGAAAGAACTTACGAAAATTTGAATGATATATAATGACTTTGAGGTACAAATTTGTTGTATGGACTTGCGGCTTGATTATAAAACCGCCATTTTCGATAATTAAACTCAAAATTAATTGGGGAAACATTATTTGCACTTGATTCACGAAAAACAGAAATTTGACGGAATATTCTTTAAGTTTGTGTTTTTAGACATCTCTTGATGCCTTAAATATAAGCTTTAAGATACAAATGGGAAAATTGGTTTCACAACACATGAGTTCGATTTCAACCCAAGAAAAATAATGAATAAATTTAGTGAGAAAAATTCATTTTTCCTTTATGTTATTTTCGCAGTTTTCGTATCCGATCATTAACAATAGGTCCATGTTAGCTTGTCTACATCGATCTATAAACGTTACTCATATAACTATAAAAATTTACTCTGACTATAAACGTTTGTCTGAATTTGTAAACGTTTCACTTGATATATGAAGGATTCACCAGATATATAAACGTTCACCTATATTGACATCAGGTCATATCTACAAATAATTACACTGCCGGCCGTAATGCTGCTCTCAACTGTGAAGCTCAACTGAGCAAGACTGATCTCGAGCGACCGTCAGTAAAGGCTCATACTTCAAACAAAAAATTTCGATTACATTGAAATATTAATTATTAATTATATATGTTTTTATACTTCATTTTGGATAGGAAAATGAATTTAGTAATTTAGATTTTATACATCGTCAAGCCTTCTCGGAAAAGGTAAACGACACTCACCAGTTGAAATCGAGCAATTTGTAAACGTTATTTCTACTAGCATCCTAACGACGTCGCTCGAATTCCCAGCAGCCAATTACAATGGTGAGATTCCCGCTCGAGTTCTTCTAATGGGTGTAATTTATGAGAGATTTTTTGCCCACAGTCTTTGGTGGCAAATACGATGGTCTCCATTGGCCCGCCAATGCAACAATATGATTTACGGCTAACCGCGTACCATTCACGGCCATTCGTCCTCGAAATAAATATAAAGATCACACTGGAAAACTTACAGCCAACCAGGTGCCGTTCACGGCATTTTGCTCTAGTGATAAGTATAATGGATATTACAAAATAAAATCTTCTAAGCGCGGTCACAATCGACAGTCCCAAAATCTGGAAAAAAATCTCCCAGAAAAAGTAATTTATACGAAATTTCAAATTAATTTAATTTAAGCAGTAGTCAAATAAGTTCGGACATCATGTAACTTGAAAATGTTATTATTATGAAATGATTTGGATTTTCTTAGGAAATTAAAGAAGGCAAAAACTCTGGAGGTGCAAGTGTAAGCGCAGCACGTCTCATCCTCCACGTTTACCATCCATTGCCTGGGGCTGTAAGGATCAAATCTTGAACGATTGAAAAGAAATTCCCCACGTGCCATTTTCCTTAGTGAAACAAATAAAGGTATTATGGATGATGTGTGTAAACAATGCACATCTCCTGATCTGCAGTATATTACAAAAGAAGACAATATATAAATATTCGCAGAATTTCTTTGAAATCATCATAATTACAGTCATGACATTGCGCACCAACCTCATTTAACCGAAGAAATTCAAATGACAAAGAACCGAAATTCAAATATCAGATTTTCCCGCTAAAAAGCTCCCTTCTTGAAATTTTGAGCTTTACATTATCTGCCGTTTATTAACCGAAAGCTTGAAGACTACAATTAAATTTTCAATTTAATTCAGAAACGAATGATACCTATAAAGTTACTTGATTTTCACGTGCCATGAGAAGATACATATTTTTCCAAGAAATGCGTTTGTCTTTTGTGGCGGCGAAGCTTTCCAGTGCCGATTTAAGTAGACGAACAAGACCTCCTCAGCACGACTAAAATGCGTACTATTTCCTGCAGGAACTTCAAAAAATAATATTTCAAACAAAAGAATACTTGCCGGCCTCCAAAGTACCATCTTTTTAAGCGGTAATTTAACTAAATTGTGTCGGTTATTCATGAGGACATAATTCATGGTTTTAGGAGAGCACACAAAGAGGCAATAATGCGAGCATCGGTGCAAACTGCGACATCGCAGCATATCAAGAAGACAAATTCTGCGATCGTGTGGGCTTCTCGGAGCAAGCCAGCATGGAAGATGAATCACAACGAAGCATCCAATTAATTTCTCGTGTAGAGATTCTGTTAACAAGTCTCTGTAGCAATCCTGGAATTTCAGCTGAGGAGAAAACGGATGGCTTTTGTGCAAGAGATGGAGATAAGAGAGCGCGGTGTCTCTGGCACGGAGCTCTTGTACAATTAATACGAAGAAATAACCTATGATCACTCATTCTTCGGTCGTAAGTTTCATCGTAGTATGTTTCCTCGCGTGCAGAACAAATTGAAATTTTGCTCTGACAACACAGCATGCAAATATTTCCTATAAAGATCGTAACTCGCGTTAGAATTTGCGCCAAGATCAACGTGCCGTCTCATCAGAATTAGTTTCGAAAACGTACAATGGGAAATTATTATTGCTATTATAAGGATAATTCAGAAATCATTCCTAAAATCCACTGAGCTCCGATTGTTTCCGTAGTAACCAAAAAGGCTGCAATTAAACTTGCATGGATGGAGAGATGCCGCTATGAAATGAATAAATTTTCAAGTGTTTAACTGTAAATCAGGATTTAAAGTATCATCAACTCCTGCATTTATTGCGAAGAGAAACAAATTAGTCTAAAGCTATTACATATAGTAAATAAAGTGTATGTCAAATTAGCTTTTAGCAATGACCGATAGAGCACACGTGAAGTGCACAGCCGCCATTGCAAGGTTTACGTTTGAGATGTTGCAGTCATGACCAGCTCGAGGCTAACTAGCTGCATGAAACAAAAAATGTTTCTGTTCAGTCATATAAATACATTCCTCCCTCTGCAAAATGCTGGGCTAAGCTCAAGCGCACCCCCAACCATCGCACGCAACCTGATTTTGCCGACGAACTGCGCCGGCCCGACCAGCTCAGGATGATGCCTTGCAGAAATGCGTTCTTGAGTATGCAAGCATTGCATGATTATGGGGTAAATGCATGGCTCATGGGGTAAATGTACAGATCATGGGGTAAATGCATAGGTATATTATGGGGTAAATGTTCAGAACGTGCGGTAAATGTACGGATCATGGGGTAAATGCATGGATCATGGGTATATGCATATATTATGGGGTAAATGTTATCATGGGGTAAATGTACAGATCATGGGGTAAATGTACAGATCATGGAGAAAATTCGCACTAGCGACAGTACGTACAGCGCTTTCCTTCAAATAAGCTTTGACCAAATTGTAAATTGCTCGCTATTCTAGTGCAATGGATTCGACTGAAAAATGTTCATTAAGGAACAATCCAGAGATTGACTATGATCGGAAAGAATGAAGTTCTGAAGGCAAAATTAATCCAAATCAGTCAAAATAACGTCGTCTCTTTACCTACTCCGGAGATTACTTGATTTATATCGTATAATTTCGACAATCGATGCCCATTGATACACTTAAAGAAACCTCAAGCGTCATCTAAGGAAGCTTCACGACTTCACCAGCATGAGCATGCAACATTTTGTCTCCAAAATTTCTTCATCTCAAGCGCAGCTGTCACAAATATTCAAACATATTACCGTCACAATCATGCCAATAAGAGCAAATATAAGCACAAGAACAGATGTATTGTTTGCAGGGCCGAGGAATGCGTTGCGTGTCATTGGTGGTCGCGTTGGAGTCGCATAAGCTCCTCGCAGCTGGCAGCGGACCAGGGGGTCGAGCTTACAGACTTTGCCTGGCCTCGAGCAAAGACGATTTTTTATCCTGCACTTTGGCTCACATGAGCAAGCGTTCTTTTTAACGGCCATTATATAAGTAATCTTTTTCTGGGGAGACGGTAACACAAATTACAGTAGAAGCGATGGTCTGCAATGGTGATGGCAGATGTCAAGATGCTCTAGGGAGAAGAATTACTAGAAAAAAATCTTCATGTTATTTGGATCGCGCCTCGGCTAGATATTGGCAGGGCAACAAGATGGCGGCGGAGGAGGAAATGATCCGTGGGAGTGTTTTGGAGACCTCGAACTGAGCCACAAGCAACGGCAGAAAAGTCGGTTAGGTATGACAGAAAAGTCGGGTAGGTATGACAGAAAAGTCGGTTAGGTATGACAGAAAAGTCGGTTAAGTATGACAGAAAAGTCGGTTAGGTATGACAGAAAAGTCGGTTAGGTATTTCATGTAAAGCGAGATTGTTTTGTGTGCCATGAGTGTGGTTGTAATACAGACGATGATCGAAAGCGAGATTGTGGTGTGCCGTGAGTGTGGTTATAATACAGACAATCATCTTAAGCGAGATTGTGGTGTGCCGTAAGTGTTGTTGCAATACATACATACAATCATCTAATGCAAGATTGTTTTGTGTGCCGTTAGCGTGGTTGTAATACAGACAATCATCTAAAGCGAGATTGTGGTGTGTGCGCGGTGAGTTGTTTTTATAGAGACAATCATCACTTCAGCGAGATTGTGATTGAAAACTTGAAAATCATCAATGAAATTCTTAAAAAATTATAACTAGCGTACGAAATAATTTTAGTCGCGCTGACGACATTGAACGTGCATTACCTGAGCATTTTCCGTTCGAAAATATGACTTACGCAGAAAAAAAAATTTGCATGACCAAAATCTCTGTAAACAAAATTCAAATAGCCTCTAAATTATTACTCTTATGTTTAAATTTCATCCCATGTTTTGAGGACAAATTTCTTCTGATATGTCAGCATGCAATTTATCTTAATATTCAGAATATGCTTCATCTCGAAATTCCGAATTTTGAATATCATGAATTATATGAATCATATTAATATTCCGAATTGAACATTAGTCAACGGTTGGGCACCACGACAACGAACAGCGGGAGTGACATGGCATAAACAAATCAAAGGCAAAATTAAATCAAACATCAAGAACCATAGTTTCTATATACATTTATTTACTGTATATTAATTTAACATAAGAATGTATTTATCTTACCTGAGATCCTTTGGCGTTCTCAGGAACGTCGAAGGAATATGCGTGTTCGTAGAACTGAGGAGGGTTGTCGTTCGTATCCGTGACCTGCACGAAATATGAATGGTTCGTAATGATAATTATTAGATATAACAAAACGCTTGAATATGACGACATTTTATCACTAATCAGACTTAATCAGCAGCGATTAATAATAGTTCATGAACAAAACAACCAATTAAATCTTTGTACATAACATCCAACGATGACAATAAACAGCAACCACGGCGTAACCCGGATCAAAATTATAACCATTATATCATTATCATTTTAGATGCAAAGTGATATTGAACACACATATTTCAATGTTGGACACTGCTTGTTGGTGCAATCGTTGGGTGCTGCATGTTAGTGCTATCAATGTCAATTTGTAAATGAAATAATCGTCAATAAATAATAAATTCATTTACTCAATCTCGAGACCTGAACGCTTGAAGACTGCAGGACGATTTTTCCAGACTGGCACAACGGGGCGCTCCGAAACCAAAAGCTACAAACCTGTACGCGTTGTAACCGGGGCTTACCGTGACCTTGTCGCCACAAATCAAATCTGTATTTTCATAATCAACTTAATTTCAGTTAAACGCCAACAATATTTCATATTCAGATGGCAAAGGTTTTAGGACCTGATACTGGTGGCTTGTGCTAAGAAGACCTAATTAATGAGTGCTAAGGACTTATATATATATATAAGCACTCACCCAGATTTAAGTTTTGTGAATAGTTCGATCCAATAATTGGAAACGAGTTTCCTTTGCTTTAATTTTTTAAATGCTTTGTCTATCAAACCAACTTTTGTGTTGATCAAAACTTATTTACTGCCTGTTCACTTCAGTTGGAATTATTCCTGTGGCACCTTATGCCAGCCAGACGACTTCAATAGCAACTGAATTGATGCATCCCGATAGTCTCGTTCACAGGAATAACTGTTCGTTCATTCGACTCTAGAATATTTTGTTTATTTATTTTCGCCTAATAGTTAGTTGGTTGGTTAGTAGGTTAGTTTCATACCTAATTTATTGTGGATGTGGTATCAGGAGAGGGGGCTTGGCTAAACTAGGTCTCCTGTTCGAAATAATATCGCTTTATCCCCTTAGTTTATTTGTTTGCTAATTAGCAAAATTTATGAATGCAGCGTGTTAATTGCAGATTAAAATTTTATTAAAATTCATTACTTCTTCAGGAATTCGACCTTCATAGTACGTGTTTTAATTAATGAGATTTTTTATTTTTAAGAGATTTTAATTAAAGATTTTTTTATTCTTCAACAGTCGCTGGCCCCTCGTATGCTCTGTAATTAACATGGTAATTCACTTCTTGCCTTACTCCTTAATTAACACTGTAATTTTCACCATACTTTATCCATTAGCTACTTATCCATTATTTTACACCAATCAATTTAGAACTATTAATTTGTTGTGCAAGTCAGTCAATGCAGCCCTGGCCCAGCACAGCTGTAAATCAGAACACTCCTAATTATTTAATATACTTAATGTTTACTGCTGATTTATTTCCATTACCAAATCAATTACAATGCGGCTGACGGAGACACAATAGTGGGTATTTCTGACCTGACCCGCTTCCACGGCGGCGGCAACAACAACATGCACTTTGCTTTCAATCCGACTCATTGTTTAATCCGCGCAAAATTTATTATAACATAACATCATAACAAATAAAATATAGAACATAAAAATAACACATCCCCTATAGCCTGAATGTACACGGTGGTGTCGGTATGTTGCACGGCATCACAGAGACGCACGACTCACCTGAATGTACACGGTGGTGTCGGTATGTTGCACGGCATCACAGAGACGCACGACTCACCTGAATGTACACGGTGGTGTCTGTATGTTGCACGGCATCACAGAGACGCACGACTCACCTGAATGTACACGGTGGTGTCGGTATGTTGCACGGCATCACTGGCGCGCACGACGAGCTCGTACAGATCCTTGGTCTCCCGGTCAAGCGTCTCTCTGAGGCTGAGGTGCCCCGTCGTCTCGTCCAGGCTGAACTTGCCGTCGTCGCCCGACACGAGCGAGTAGCTCAGGGTGCCCAGGATGTCGGAGTCGGAGGCGGTGATGGTGGCGACACGTCTGCCGGCCTGATGGTCCTCAGACACGGTGTAGCGGCGGGGCATGTCTCTGAAGCTCGGTGGAGAGTCGTTCTGGTCCAAGATGGTTACTCGCACCTGCAACAATTGACAAAAATACGTTAGAAATTAATAAATAATTTTGGATATTAGGATTTGTTTGGTCCACGATAGTCACTAGCGCCTGCAGAGAATGGAGAGAAATAAAATCTAGATATGATTCAAATTATTAAAAGAACCCAGTATTTTAAGAGTTGCTTGGTCTAAGATGGTCACTCGCACCTGCAACAATTGACAAAAATACGTTAGAAATTATCAAATAATTTTGGATATTAGAATTTTTTTAATTGGTACGCGATAGTCAGTAGCACCTGCAGAGATTGGGGAGAAATAAAATCTAGATATGATTAAAATTATTAAAAGATTTTAGTTTATCAAGAGTTGCTTGGTCCAAGATGGTGACTCGCAACTGCAAATTAATAGGCATGAAGGCCTTAATATGACGAGAGAAGTTTAAAATTTTAGCGTCCAGATGAAAAGATATTTGTCGCCTTACAAAATGCTGTTTTTTTTGTGTATGAAGCTCATTACTATTCAACAAATGTATCGCCATTGATTAAATGAAGAGCGGTTTTAAAATCACGCACTCACTAAATCAATCAGTAATTCGGATTCTGGTTCTGTTGTACATAGAATTCATAAGTAATTTTCTTGAGGTCCGCGTCTTGTTCGTACTAATTCCTATTTATTTGCTAGTTGCATCAAAGAATAACTGGTCTTTCATCAAATTAATAGCATCCAACAGTCAAAAATGGGGCCCTCTCATCACCGACATGACGACTTTCCCATTTGGATGTAGCAAATTCGATGCTTGTGTAAGCACGAATAGTTAATTGTTTGAGCGTTGAACGAAATAACTAATATAAATATATTCGAGTAGGTGGCATAACATGTATTTTTTCAATGTACATAGACTAGCAGTTGTTTATTTCCAGGACCATAGTCTAGCAGCTGTTATCTTGAAGGCCCATAGCCTAGCAGCTGTTATCTTGAAAGCTTACAGTCGAGCAGTTGTTTTCTTTAAGGCCCATAGTCTAGCAGCTGTTATCTTGAAGCTTAGAGTCGAGCAGTTGTTTTCTTTAAGGTCCATAGTCTAGCAGCTCTTGTCTCGAAGGCCCACAGTCTAGCATTTGTTTTCTTGATGACCAATAGCCTGGCAGCTGTTTTCTTGAAGGCCCATAGTCAATCAATTGTTCTCATCACCCAGCAGGTCTCCAGCACACAGCAGGCCTATGACGCTGTAGCGCTGAAGGGCTGTGGATGTTGGAATTAAAGGACTCTTCGACGACCATCCAACTTTCCGAGACTTCACGAGCGCACGCAGTTATTGACAGCTGACAATTTTTGGAAACAAAACGAATAAGTTAACTTCAAACTTAACCGCACCCAATGAGATAACTGGAACATTTTATTTATGATAATGTTTCATCATAATTATGTTATATGTACAGAGCATATTTCATTTTTAGAGCATTGTGCTTTACTTTATCAAAGCAGTTGTACTCGAGTTCATTGCAGAATTGTTACGGGGTGCCTCTGTAATACAAGCAATAAAGAGAATTGTAATCTAAAGCATCGGCCACAATTTCCCCCACATTCATATAGAAAAATTTCCTTTATGAACAGAAGGCAAGATTTAAACGAATCGCTCTCGCCAAATTTCATGCAAGCAAGCAAGAGAATGTCTTGAAAGTGAAACCTTTTCACTGACGCATTACAGCAGAGCTGTGAACCTTGCAGTCTCGTGCGAAGCTGTAATATTGGCGTCACGGCGCACGATAAGTCACGTTTCATGTCGCACTGGGAAGAAAGATGAACGCAAACCAAGTTTAGGGTGTTATATCTTGGCACTAACGCGTTACGTCACCGTGTGTGCCATGAGCAAATCTTGAAAGCATGCCATGTTGAAATGACAGAGCGTTGAGCGCTGCGAGCAGAGGTCAAACGCGCAACAAACGGAATGCAAAAACTTTGCTTCATCACAATTTCTCTCTCTATCGTTTTCAATGAATGTAAAATTTTTCTTTAAAATTTTTCCCTCGTATTTTCAATAAACTCTTGCATCTCAGATCAAATTTCGCGGCATTTAATGGAACTCGCGATTCATGTTCACGTCTTTGTTAATTAATGGTATGAGCAATGAAAGGTCGCACGTAAAATATTACATAGGAGAAGAATCAGGAGCCTTCAACAAAAAGAAAAACTTCCCATAAACCATCAACTGACTTGAGGTTATAGTCATGTGCAAACCAAATAGTTCTTCAGAGGAATTCATCCTCATTCGTTCGAATATAAAGAATTTCCCCTCACCCTTATGCCGAAGAAGACAAAATTTCTTAGGCAATCGAAATTTTAACAATTTTTTTCTTCAATCAACTACAATACCATGCCTCCATATGATCAGAACACAGAGAAGTCAGAGGGAGGCTGTTGGATGATCACTGTCTCCAATAACTCCATATGACCAGCACACAGGGAAGTCAGAGGGAGGCTGTTGGATGATCACTGGCTCCAATAACTCCATATGATCGGTATCCATGCAGGCAAAAGATATGCAATTTCTACGGCCAAAGGGCTTCAATTAGCTTATCTCGGAGCTTCCGTTGTCGCCGAGTTTATCTCTTTACAATCAATTATGCGCTGGCGAGCAGCCACATTAAGTCTACACTGTCGTCAATATGCTACTATTGAATCGCAGTAAAGTTTATAATAGAACAAAGTTGTTATACTTTACACAAATTTTTGAATTGCCTTTTTCAGAATTTATGGAAAATAATTATGGATCATATTCATTCCAACGAAGAAAATGAGAGCAGAACTTGCCTTTTTTAATGAAACTGCTCCAGTCGATTATCTTTGCGGTAACAATATGGTTTTTTTATTGAACTTACAAATTTTGTTGGCTCTATATATTCACTTTTTAACATCATTTGGTTTTTATTTTTTGTTTTCTTACATGTCACAACCAGGACATGTTGCATTTTAGGAAAATAATTAAACCGAATTCTCATACCGTAAACAACGTCCCATACGCCATCAAACAATCTTAGAACAACGTCCCATACGCCATCAAACAATCTTATTATTAACAAAAATGCTCTATGATATCGGCACTCCATATCAAGCATGAACGCATTTTTCAGTAAATGAAAACTTTTAGGTGTCAAAACTTTTTCTGCACACAAAGAAAGCTTGCCAATAGTTGAGTGGTATTTGTGTATGTGCGTTTTTATTCACAATGAAAGAATGCAGGAGGGCTTTTCCCTTAGAAATATCACTCAGGAACATCGTCATACGCGAATTATGAATTAATTGATTTATTATCTTAAGGAAATACAAAAGAAGTAAATAAAAGATGAAGAAATTAAACGAAATATAAAAACTAATATAATAAAACAATTTAATAAAATGTGCAGAGATTCGAACACATCAAGACAACAGAAAATTTTTACGACCGAAAAAAGTTCAAGAGAAGTGAAGAAAATAATCTCTTAATGGGGAGGGGGTTTAGGGTTACAAGATGTTGCATAAATAAATTCTTCTGTAATGCATTAAAAATTAATTAAAGAGCTAAGCTCTGTAGGAGATATAGAAGATGTCGCCTGTCACGAGTTACTTGTAGTAAACGACTTCATCTAAAGTCCGTCGCTCGCTTCGTTGTTAAGAAACAAACGCGTTTAATCGGCGGGATGCCACGCTGGAAAATTTTTTCGCTTGCTTCCATGGAGCGACGAAGTCGTCGTTTTGGTGCTTCCATAAGAAACTAGAGACCAAATATTAGACGTTGTCTGCGTGATACTTGCTCCGTAATTGGCTCTTTTGCACAATTGTCACATCACAGTCTGACGCATGATAGCCTTAGAATTATTGCTTTGGATGCCAGACAGAACAGCGATCAGTGAAGGTCTAATCAACGGCAAAACCCGAACTTGGTTGGCTCATGGGCAGAGAATTGTACCCCCCATGTCAACTTTACGATTGCCGTCACAAGGGAGCAGTGAATGTCTGCAGTACACCGACACACGCAAGGCATCTAGAGAATATGATCTACCTGCAGCAATAACCTGTTACTGAACATGAGTGTCCGAAGAGACAGCGCTCTTCGTTAAAGCAAATGCAGAGAACGAATATGGGGAGAGCTGTGTGTGAAAAAAGGCAAAGACTTGCATGCAATATGACAAGGTGTGCCTTTTTCTTGTTAAATAGAATTCTCGAAATGTGATCAAAGGTAAACAAATTCAAAATATTCAAGTCGCGTCAAATCTGAAACACGAGAAAAAAGGCGAGACATTTTCCATTAATATTAATATGAGGCCAGCATTCAAGCTTAACGGTCGTTTGCAGCTAAATGCCCGGTAACGAGAGGTGTGGTAACTTTGTCAACAGACAAAAGACTGCAACTCTCAGTGAAATTATTCGCAATCAGAGTTCCAGACTCAACATTAGGTCCGCCGGACGGGCGACTCGCGCGATCGTCAATGGTTACAAAAAAACCCTTAGACATTCCTATGAACGACTGGAAGACGAGCGACTACCGATAACGCAGATTGATGATCACCGCCATCAGCTGAAGACGATGTCAATGCCAGTATTCAGCTCATAATCGTTCAGCGCTATTAGGAAACAGGGGTTTTCATCGAAGATACAATATGGTATTTTTCGAGACTTAGCAGTAGTTCAATATTTGTATGTCATTTTCAAGATGGATGAAAACCTTAACATAGAATTTAATGCAATAGTCCCGTGTATTTTTATGGTTACTAATTTATCAGCACGTGTATGAAATCTAAGCTTAACGAACGAAAGACCGAAGATGGCAAAAATTTGGGAAATTAGATCTAAATTTTCAACGATTTTATTTGGCAATACACGGATTGCGAACATTTAATTACCATAAGATTATCAAAATATATGAATATTAACGAAAAGGCATGAAAGCTCAACAACGAGTCTCAACTTGAACAAAGAGCCAGGACAAATATCTTAAAATTTAGTACCTGGAAGCGTCATCGAAAATTGCTTCATATCCAGCATCAAAA